GTCTACCGACGTGAAGAACTGAAGATATAGTATTAGAGGTTAGTATAATTTTATTCTTCACATGCTAATTTTTCCTAACCTTAAATATACCATAATTTCTGAGCGGGAATTGTTTGTTCCTTGTGTAGGTATAAATAAACCTGATGCTTATTTTAGTTACTTGAATGATGAATAACGAGCGTAAAATTAAAGATTTTAGTGAGTTGACTACCCGACAACAAAGACGAAGAGTGCTTTCCCATTTACATTTACATCATCGTTCGGTTCATGCATCACAGCTTTCTTCTACAGATATTGTTCACAGCACCCAAGAAACTACGCAGGAACCTATACCGTCAACATCAAAAGCTGTAACAATTGACGAGCATAGTGAAATATTTGATAGTACATTGTCATCGTCTACTTTATCTACAGCTGATGCTAGTATAAAATCCTCAGATATATCTGTTTACCATCCCGTTTCATCACATAAAATTGTATCTAATTTTGAAAGTGACCTCCGTGCTTTAATTATAAAACATCATGTATCGCATCAATTCGTAAATGATTTATTACCCCTGCTACGTGATAATGGGCATAATTCTTTACCAAGGGACGTTCGCACGTTCATGAAAACACCCGTTAATACATCAAGTATCGTGAACAGTTGTGCAGGTGGACATTATATTCATTTTGGTTTCGAGAAGATGTTACATCACTCTTTAGTACATTATAATTATACATCTCCAGTTGTCAGCATTAACTTTAACATCGATGGACTACCTATATCGAAGAGTTCAAATTCACAATTGTGGCCAATTCAAGGTGCGATTTGTATAAAGGACACATACACAGAACCATTTATTGTAGGTTTGTTTTATGGTGCCAAGAAACCATCAGATGCAAATGAATACTTGAAACCTTTTTGTGATGAGGCCAAGGGACTTTTAATGAATGGAATTTATGTAAATAATAATCATATATCCATTAAGATAAATGCTATCATATGTGATGCTCCTGCCAGAGCATTTATAGCAGGAATTAAAAGTCACACTGGATACTTTGGATGTTCCAAGTGTACTACGGAAGGAACTTTTACTGACAATAGAGTCATATTTCCCCAATTAAATGCAACTCTGCGTTCAGATGTCTCATTTTTACAGAAAATTCAGGAAGAACATCATAAATCGGATACTATACTACATCACAGTTTAAATATTGGCATGGTAACTCAACTTCCACTTGATTACATGCACCTTGTGTGTCTGGGAGTTGTCAAAAGGATGCTCCAGTTTTGGATAAATGGAAAAAAAGATTTACGTTTAGGAGATACTTCTAAGGAAATTTTAAATAAGAAATATATGTCGTACAGGCAGTTAATACCTTGCGAATTTAGTCGAATGCCTAGAAGTGTATCTGAAATTGATCGCTGGAAGGCCACAGAATTGCGTTTTTTTTAATGTATGGTGGTGTAATTGCCTTGAAAGATATACTGAGTGAACAATATTATGAACATTTTTTATGTTTAAGTGTGGCTATTCGTATTTTGTGTAACAGTGAATTAATCAAACAATATTTAGAGTACGGTGAGAAACTTTTGTTGCACTTTGTAAAAAAATATTCTGGTTTATATGGTGAACGTTATATGTCCTATAACGTTCATAACCTTATTCACGTTTGTAATGATGTCAAGATATTTGGTGCCCTCGATAATTATAGTGCATTTAAATTTGAAAATTATATGTGCGAGATCAAAAAAAACCTCAAAACTGGTTCTAATCCTTTACAACAAATATTTAATCGGATTATGGAGAAGAATAATCAAATAAGTTTAGTTCACAATGTGGAACCTATTGTTTATCCCAAAATTGTGGAAAAAAATGGACAAATTCACTCACTGCAATTTAAATCTTTTAAATTAACTAACCGACAACCAAATAACTGTTGTTTGTTAAATGATGGCCATGTAGCATTAATTACTAATTTTTTTCTCTTAAATTCTCATATCTATGCTTCAATTCATATGTATTTATCCAAGAAAGACTTTTTCAAAGTTCCATGTGCATCCTCACATTTAAATATATATGAGCTTTCTTCAGACAAAGGTGCAATAGATATTACGGAAATACCAGTAACAATGATTGCACAGAAATGCATTATTTTAAAGACCAATTCAGATAAGGATGTAATGCTAACACTACTGCATGTAGATTAACAACGGCAATTGGAGAGATTAATTTTTCGTTTTTCTTGCTAGTTATTATTTTCTTTTTATAATATAAATTTTAGTTAAAAACACTGATTCCACTGAAAGCTTAATATTTAGCATATATGCAACTAGTAGTTTAAGGAATTTTCAAATCGATGAACATGAACATTAATAATTCATTAGTGAAATTTTTGATGAACTGAAAATTAAGAAACATTGACGTTTAGATGCAGGACAAGTCGTATGCGGTGGTTGCCTTTCTGGATGAAGAGGACAGCTACTCGGAAATCCCGTCATTTTGGCTGTCCCACAATAACACTAAGTGTTGGTGGCCAAAGAGTAAAACACCTTCAAATTTTATAAAACGTGGAGCAAAACCCGACCCCGCAAAATGGAGTTTATGCAGTGTAAGAGTTGAAGGAACTTTTTGTAAGTTTTTTTCTTGGTTTCTAGTTAGTGAATTGTAATGAATTTTACTGCATTGTGTAGGTACGAAAAATGGTGGCTTTAAATTACTGATTTTGCTTGTACCATGATTTGTACATCTGTGTTAATCATCACTTCAAAGGGGGTTGCGGAATAAGAATGGTTAATTGGCCCCCGTCGAGTTAGAATCTATCGACCTGATAATATCGAAGGAAAATCACATTTTTTCTTAGTATAGAGAATTCTTAAGAAAATAAGAAGTTGCAGATATCTTCTAAAATTTTGTTTTGAGATCCCCTTCGATATTATCGGCTCGATAGAATCAAACTCGACGGGGGCCAATTGACCATTCTTATCCTGCTACGTCCTTTAATTTACGAACTACTCATATAAACTTTGTTTTAGCGACTTTAGAAGAAGCCAGAAAAAGGGCTGAAAATGAAGATTATACCTCTTCGGAGGAAGTCCAACGCAACAGGAAGAAAAATCCAAAATATGTGGATTCCCAACTAGCTATTACAAGTGATGAAGGTAAATTAAATATTCCTTTCATCAAACATATGTCTAATGCCAATTTAATGATAGAATATTCAACAAGTCGAAGTGGAACACCGCCACCACAAATGTGTGAAGAAGTTTTAGTCTATGCTTCACCTTCAACATCACCCATTAATCTAGAACAAATGCCAGTTATAATTGCAGATAACATCGTCGAGTCTGGTAAAATATATTCCTTTATACTTCACGGCAAACCTAGAATTATTTTAAATATATGAAGTTGCCTAATATATGCACGTTTATAATGTCTTTAAAATATTTGTACTTAATTTTGGAACACTGTATGCTATGGCTTTTACGAATCTGCTTTTATAGGTACCGTACAAGCTGCCACTAATTCGTACGGTTATACGTTAGGTAAGCATTTATTTTATTTTTTTCTTATGGTAATTAAATGTTTGTATTTTTTTCTAGATAAAATATATGAACTACTTGTAAGTACGAACTTATATGTAAAAGGTATATCAGCACGACTAGAGAAAATGGAAAATTCAAGAAAAATTGAGAGTGTCAATAATCATGATGCACTGAAAGATTTAAGAAAAATGTTGCCCTTAAGCAGCACAGATGATATAAATCAATTTGAAATATTTCTTGGGGATGATGAACAAAAGAAAATTTTTGTAAGTATATTTAGGTATAAAAGTGTTCTGCAAATTTAAATTATTTCAGACAAATTTTATATCCTCTATAGGAGGTAGGAATGTGAAAGATAATATTCACAGATGTTTGAAATCAATATTCTCTAATGAAGCTGCTACCAAATGTTCGTGGCTAGGCCAACGAGGCAATTTTCGCGTTTGTGATCTATCTTCAATAACTGTCCTAAAAGGTACTATTGTTTTTGTTGAGATGTTTATAAATGATGTACATTATTTTGCAGATCAGATCCAAGTCAACTATAATATAACATTAAAAGAGTTTGAAGTCATTGGTAGCGAATGGTTCCGTTTGTCAAAATTAAGGTTAAAACCAGATAAACGCAACCCTGATTCTTCTAATGTCGTCAACTAGTATTGTAATCTATTATATAATATAAAATATACATTTTGTTCAATATATTGTATTTAAGTAAAAATGAATATATCGTATTTACATAAATTTCTATATGTTTATTTAGTACAAATATTTACATCATATATATATATATATATATATATATATATAAACTGATGTATATTTACATAAAAAAATTTACATTATATATATAATACTGATGTATATTTACATCAAGAAATTTACATAAAATATACAGATTTGGTATTTAGAAAATTGCTGACATTTTGATATGAAATATCTCTTATTCATCTCCCAATATTACATAATTCTAACAAGCTTGTACATAATTTATACATACATTTTATATAATTATGTTTGTTGGGTAGCTCTAACTTATAAGCAGAATTTAATTTGTACGGGCAAATGAGCATTAAAAGCCCTAAGTTCAACCTCCGGGGTTGCAACAGAAAATTATTAGAAGTACGTCGGGCCACAAAAAAAGTTTCTGCCTGGAGAATGTAGGAGGCGAGGGCTCCTTAACATATAATTTTTTCTCGACTTTCAAACCTTAGCATCATTTATTTTGACCTTTTCGTTGCTCTTGCTGGCTGGTTCCCCATTCCGTAATATGTATAAGTACAATGCAATCGCACAGTTGTTATGTCGTCTGTTTTTTATCGTTTCTAAATATACATATGAAACGAAACTTTTTACCTATAAGCTAGTAACACGCCGACAAATAAAAATACGCGTTTCTTTTATAATATAAACTCGGCAATTAGTATGGTTAATTAGTAAAGTATGGTTAATACCTTAGTTAATACCTATCGATTGCTTTGTCGAGTCGTCGAAATTTTAGGATTTTGTTCGTACAGAATGACCTATCTTCTTCAGTAGTAACACTATGGTTTACACTAGTTTACGCTACGGATCGCCATCTTACAGAAAATTTAGACGTTAAGTAGGAATACAGGTTTCGTATTATAGGCTTTTAATTTATACGATTTGTCAGTTCGACAAAATGAAAGTTATACGCTTTTTTTTATACGAATTTTATTTATATGTTTTACAAGTTCGACAAAATGAAAGTTATACGTAATTTTATTATACGTTTTTATTTTATACGAAATACCGGTTATACGTTTTGAAATTTATACGGAATGATAGCTACCCATTTTGGTAGTAGGACCTTCTTTAAAGAATGTTACAGCAACGTACGTAATAGTTGATAAAATACGATACAAGTGCAATACAGTTCTTTCTGCATTAGATTTAAATTTTAAAATCTTTCATATTATGAATGTCTGTTACCCCTCTCAATCTGAGTACCTATGGATACTGATTCAGAAATGTGTGTATGAGGTGCACACTGCACAAGATAAAACGATTCCATATATCTTAGACTTGATTGAGGTATTAAAAGACATTAATTAGTTTATACAGTTACAAAAGACAAAATAATTGTTTATCTATTTATAAGACCTGCTGTTTTTGGCGTCATTATGAAATGTCAAAAGTGTAACTGCTCGTTTTCCAATGCTAGTATTTATATTAATCATCTAACATATAAGCATAATATAGTAAATTTTTCTTGTTGCTATAGAACTTTTAGCACACGTGGTGCGTTTAAAAGGCATTTAAATTTAGAACATGTTCAGAAAAATAATCCTAATACCGCAACTAATACTGCGACAAATGTGTTACATTCTCTAAACGCTACTGATCCTTATACAGTTAATACTTCAAACTTAGAAAATGTTGGAGAACCATCATACAATTCATCAGGAGATCATAATGAACAATTTTGTAAACTATTTCAATCAAACATAGACCAATTCGTTTCATCTTTATATAGTAAACTTCAATTAAATTTGACTCTAATACAAGATATTATACTTCTCACTTCTGACTTTGTTTCATCCGCAATAAATAGTATTAAAAACTGTTGCTCATGTTCAAGTTTAAAGTGCGATAATTGTAAAGAAATGTTGAGTGTATTGGAAGAACCGTTCAAAAACTTAAATACGGAATATAAAAGACAAAAGTATTTTACAAACTCAAAATGTTTTATTAATCCCACGGAATTCGTCATAGGTACAAGAACTGCACCGAAAAAACAAGACAAAAAAATATCTTTAGACCTAATTAAAAATGTTGGATACTTTGTACCTGTAGAAAGTACATTGAAACTGTTTCTTGAACTTCCGGGAGTTTATCATATTATGAATGATTATCGAGATACACTTCTTTCAAATAAAGATGGTTCACTGTGTAATGTAATTCAAGGAAGCTTATGGCAAAAATACTTAAATCACAATAAAAACAAAAATGTTTTTCCATTAATAATTTATTTCGATGAGTTTGAATCAAGTAATCCATTGGGAAGCCATGCTACCATATATAAACAAGGTGCGGTATATTTTTCAGTACCTTGTTTACCTCCAGAACACCTTACACGTCTTGAGAATATATTCTTAGTTATGCTATTTCATGCAAACGACCGATGTAGCTTTGGAAACAAAGCAACCTTTAGTATCCTTATACAAAGTTTAAATTTTTTAGAAAACTATGGTATCGATATAACTATTAATGGAAAAGAAGAAAAAGTATATTTTTCTTTAATTTTAGTTACTGGCGATAACCTAGGTATACATTCATTGTATGGCCTATCAGAGTCATTTTCATCAAACTACTATTGTAGATTTTGCAAAATGCATAAAATGGAAATGCAAACTGCAATTAGAGAAGATGATCAATTACTTAGAACGATAGATGATTATGACCAATGTGTCGAACAATTGTCTTTTGGTGTAAAAGAAAATTGCATATTTCACGATCTACAGCATTTTCACATTTTAAAAAACCTTGTTTGTGATATAATGCATGACTTAACTGAAGGGGTTCACAGGTACGCTATGGCAAACGTTATTAACTACTTTATTGCAAAAAAAATTTTGAATGTTGACATTCTCAATGGAAGAATTAAATATTATAAGTACACTGATTTAGAACGTAACAGACCCCCTATTTTAAAAATAGAGCATATAAGAAACAGGCATTTATTGCTTTCATCAGCCGAAATGATGTGTTTGGTGCTAAATTTTAGATTCATTATAGGCGATTTAATCCCTAAAGCAGACAAAGTTTGGAACTATTACTTAATATTATTGGAAATCACCGAAATTTTGATTTCATCATCTATTACACATAGTGAAATTGATTTGCTTCAAACGCTTATCGAGGAACATAACTTCTTATATATCGAACTTTTTAAAGAGAATTTAAAACCTAAATTTCATTTTTTATTGCATTATCCTAGAATTATTAGGAAAATAGGGCCGCTTTGTTTGGTACAGTCGATCAGGTTTGAAGCAAAGCATAAAGAGTTTAAAAGATTAGCTAATGTAGTATCTACTAGAAAAAATATTTCTTTAACACTTGCCAAGAGAATGCAACTTAAAGTTTGCCATCGCATGTTGTCACAAGTCGGGATAAAGGACGTAATAGAAACAGGGCCCGCTTATACGACACCACCATACTGTGACATATACTTTGGTCCCTTAAAACATACTAATAATTTTTGCATACATTGGTACAGTTTTAATGGAATTCGATATGATAATCATTCAATTTTAATATATAATGTTGAGCACGATATGCCAACATTTTGCAAAATCGAACACATTGCAGTTTTTGATGAAAAAATATATTTTTTTACCGCTACATTGGCCACAATTTCTTATGATCTCCATTTTAAAAGTTACACAGTTGAGTTTAATGGCAAACATAAAGTTTTTGAATACGCGTTTTTTTTAAATAATTACCCTGGCTCAATTTATGAGACTGTTACTGGTGTAAAGTATGTACATATTTCAAAAATGTTTTAAATCAAATATTGTTACTAGAATATAGTTAGTTTTTAAGTAGTTTAGCCTTTTGCATACATTGGTACAGTTTTAATGGAATTCGATATGATAATCATTCAATTTTAATATATAATGTTGAGCACGATATGCCAACATTTTGCAAAATCGAACACATTGCAGTTTTTGATGAAAAATAGTTATTTATATAACAAGAGCGCGAAGTTCAATTTCGCGCATTGAGACTGAAGGTATTTTGACGAGGCGAAGCCGAGTCAAAATATCAGTCAAATGACTTCGCGCTAGCGTTATATACAATATTTTTTCTACAACTGAACCGATTGTTAATTAAATTTGCTGTTTAAGTTCAACTTTGTCACGTGCGCGAAATACTTTTTTTCACTGTTGACGATTTCGCGCACGTTGTCAATAGCAACCTTACTTATTAATTAACCGTTTAAATCTAGTACTTCGCGTTTCGAAATCCGTCAGAAAATGATAGGTTTTTTTGACAGTTGTAGAAAAATATATTTTTTTACCGCTACATTGGCCACAATTTCTTATGATCTCCATTTTAAAAGTTACACAGTTGAGTTTAATGGCAAACATAAAGTTTTTGAATACGCGTTTTTTTTAAATAATTACCCTGGCTCAATTTATGAGACTGTTATTGGTGTAAAGTATGTACATATTTCAAAAATGTTTTAAGTCAAATATTGTTACTAGAATATAGTTAGTTTTTAAGTAGTTTAGCCTTTAAGTGTTTTGTAAAATTATTTTTAATTTTGAAATAAAATATTTTTTTATAAACATACAAATTTAATTTAAAAAAGTTAATAGGTTGATTGAATCATTATTAAGTTGAAAGAACAAATTAATAAATTCAACTTGACTAATCATTTTGTTTCGTATAAATAATTAAGTGTGTTGATACAGTACGATATTGTGTTATTGTAAGTAAATTAAAAGTTCATTTTTACAAAAGCATAATGTTATTTGAACGTCAAGTACAGGTAATACTAACACATATTTGATTCATTTAACTATAAATTCGTTTATTTTTAACATACAAGTAGTTTGAAATAACATACAATGTTGTTTAGTTAACGTATACGTATGGTTAATTCTACAAAATATTTTGTTAAACCAAAAATAAATCCAATAAAAACAACATAACTCACTCTTTTAGTTTACACAATATTTTGTTGATTTAACTGTACTATTTACTAGAAAGTGCAT